TTTTAATGACATGAGTCAGAGATTACAGCAGAAGATGTTTGATTACTCACAAGTCATCACAGTGTGCAGCCGAGACTACAAAGTCCTGAGTGATGAGAAATCCTCCACAAACATGGCCACCCTCCTTGTCCTGCAAAGAGGCCATGTACTGCATCGAGTTCTCTGGGGCTTTTTCTCCATGTATGATATCACTTCCATGTGCTGAAAAAAGGAAACCAAAATGAAGTTAATGTTCCATTAAACAACTGGAGTATAATAACAAAGACTTGCAGTTCTTACCAAGTCGTCCGAGGCATGCCAGAACATGGACAAACAGAAATTTCTGCAGACCGAGCATGATGCCAGCACAAAGGTGAAGTTGTGTTTGTAGGAGTGTGGAGGTAAACCTTTTATACATCAGTTTGCTTCATTGCCAAATAAGATTATAATCCATCAAATTTGGCTTTCAGCCACATCCTTTACTCAGCGCAAGACTGAAACTGGTGTTATCATCATGTTCATCAGCTTATCGGTGTGAAACACACAAATCATGTTTAGTTGTCGTTATTTTAACTCCATTTGCTGCTCACTTTTATTCATGTATTTAAGAGCCTTTGGGCCTCCTGATCATGTGTGGTTATAAATCACTTTTAATGGGTGAAACCTCGTCTGTAACACTGAGATTCTTCTCTGTGGAAATCACACTTGGTCAGATTGAATGAGTGGCTGTTTTTGTAGTTCACGCTCATTTCTGACTTTCTTCTTTGCTGTCTTTCAGTCTCGTTATGAGGACCTGCTTCTGCTCACTGTGACAATAAATCAGGTAAATCTGAAAACTAAAACCTTCCCCTTGTAGTCAGTTCACTCATCTTCACTCTCTTCACTCCTGATCATCTCAACAAAAGAACACATTTTTTCTTTTTGTAATCGAGTCGGCTGTGTTACTAAGACTGTCACAGACTGCCGGCCTGTCCATCATGCACTTCACCTTTCACCCTCACCTGGTTTTCAAGATGCTGCTGAGGTTTGATTCAATTTTATTTTTAAAAATCACAATCAAAACATTTGAAAAATAAGAAAAAAAAATCAGGAAACGTGGGTATAGGTAGACCCAGCTGTTCCCCTTCCTGCTTGTCCATGTTAAAGGTGTTAAAGGTGGCCTGCTGGGCCCACAGGTTACGGGGGCTCAGAAGAATGGGAAGGTTACATCAGGAAGGACATGCAGCATAAAATATTTGCCTAATCAAACACATGGACCAAAAAAATTCCACACAGCTCAGCTGACGCCCAGATTGAGGCATGAAACTTGTGCAGACTGTCTGACAGTCATCAGGCTCAGACACCGTCCTCGTTCACACCACCTCAAACTTCAACAGACAACACCCATATGAAAGATCTTAAAGATTTCATTGTTGATCAAACACTCAAAAATTAAAATATAATAAAAAACAGTAAAAAAATAAATAAATGAAACCACATAAATAAAACCAGAATTTCTGTTCATGTTTTGTGCACATATTTAGAAAGTCCTGACAGCTCCCACAATGTGAATAACAAAAAAAAGATTCTAATAAAAATGTTATATTATGATATATTATATGATAATATAACCTCCACATGTGGACAAAAACGTTCCAGATAAACAGGCCAGGATGAACTGTGTGTGTCAGTGATGTGTCAGCCAGAGCAGATGGACCAGGACCAGTATGGACCAGGTAGAAGACCCAACACACAGGAAGTTCAATGGTTTCACTGATTTATTTATCACGTGGGTCGTTGCAGGCAGAGCGAGCGGTCTCGACATCATGTGTCTGCACAATTGCACCACTCACCTGCTAAACCTACGTTCCTCACAGCTGACAGAAAGGAGCTGCAGCGTGTTTTCTGAAACACACAGCTTTGTGTCTGACAGCCTTATATTTCTGAACCATCCATCAGTCATGCCGGGTCACACCCCCACTTTAGTTTTATTTGGATAAAGACTTTTATATACTTTGAGCTGCTGTGATGAACTCAGTTTTTTTTCCTACTGAGCTCTTTAGGGTGATTTTTAGCCTGATGAACTCTTTGATTTAGTTAGCTTTTATTTAATTGAGCTCTACTTTATAGAAGCTATTCTGTTGGAGGGAGTGGTTAATACCTTGGCCGCTGTAACACAGGACTTTCTAAACTTTTGTGATAAGTAAAAAAATGTTAT